TGTATGTATGTGTATATATATATATATATATTTGGTTCCTGCTGCTTTCTGTGGTTTCAGCGTTATGAACAAGGGCTGCCAGACTAGCAGGCTGCTGCTAAGACTGGGATCCAGACTGCTCAGCACAGGAGCCCATTTATCTGAAACACAGCAGAGTCAAACAGTATAGCCTGAGGGGTCAGAAGTTTTAACTGCTCTCATTCAGCACTTCATTATTTCGATGTCAGCAGTGAAGAGGTAGCAGAGGGCCAGCCGAGGCTACAGAACACAGCAATGTTAGTTCTCACTGAGTGATGTCCAGTGCTGGTAATGGGATGGAGTGAGAGACGAATGGGATAAATGTATGAAAGAAGTGAGAGGACGTTGTTTGGCTCGTTGGCCCTGCTCTTAACCGGAGGTGAGAGTGAGACACCGACTGAGACACACATCAGTCAGCGTGTACCCACTTGTACTGCACTGACACACGTTCCCACAGAAACACACTGAAGCAATGAAAACAAAATAAAGAGGGCTGGGCCTCTGGAATGAATTTTCAGAGCCAACTCTAGATGAACTGATGTAACCCCTGGCAGGAATTCACTGCAACTTAATCATATAAAAGCAGCCCCTGGCTAGCTCCAGCTGAAGCACTACTCTGTTTAATCAATGTGCTGGGCACTTTCAAATAAAAACCACATACGTGCAAGAGGGTGTGCTTAATGTAAAAGTTCAGTCAGAAGAAAGTGTTCATCAGAGGGTCAGGAGAGGATCCAGGTTTATGTATACTGTAAATGATGCCCCTGCATCAGGAATTCACACCTGATTAAAAACCAGAATCAGTCATCTCAAAATGTATGGACGGTTTTGCATTTTAGTCACACTCTGCAAACATTTTTGGCTCCAACTCTTACATTTGGAACCAGATCAAGACCTGGGCCATCTGGTGGTGGATGAAAAAAACAGGTCAGTAAAGTCTTATTTTCACTCTTTTGTTGACCTGCCTCTAAAATTGAACTTCTGTAACTCCTGCCTCAAGACCGAAGAACACTTACAGGAGATTACATTTGTACATTAAAAGCATTAAATTGGATTGGATTAGGTTAAACATCACTTAACATTTATGTGCAACAAGATGGATGTCCTACCACAGATGCTGTGTTTTCTGAGAGAGCCAACAATGTGACACGTCATGCTGTGATGACGACAGACACACAATTGTTTGTGGAAAAGTAATAGCACTGATCTTTTTCTTGTACACAAAATCAAGTTTAATCCTAACTTAATGATGGGACCCAATCAGGACATAAATGTGGGTTGGCAGCTGTCACGGTTTTCAAATGTCTCCTCAGCTTCAGCCCATTCAGACTGGAACAGTTTTCCAACCTGACAGGGCCAGGAGCAGTACTGAAGGGCTGAATTTAAGGATTGCTTTTAAATAAAATGAAATATGCACAGTGTGAATGTAGCTGCAAGGCAACACCTTTAAAGGCAACAAATATTATTTCAGATAGAACTAACTAATAGAATTCTATCAAAGGGGATTTATCAGGTGGACATCTTCCAAAGTTAATGTTTTTTAAAATAATCCTCCATATGTTCTGGTGTTTTGAAAGGCAGACATACATGAATACATAAGGTCATATAATTTGCACTGCTTCTCTGGATTGCCATGAAATCCAAACAACTCGCCGTACATTTCAGCCAAGCGGAATGTATGGCAGCACTACAAAACCATTTCTAAAGCTTGTAGTGTCCCCTGGAGTTCAGTGGGCTGAAAATTGTGAAATGGAAGAAGCGTGGAACCAGCAGGGCTCTTCCTGGAGTTGGCTGCTGGGAGATGACTAGTCTGAGGAATAAGAATGTCAGCATGTGATACCTCAGCATTTATTGGCATTTGATTCGGTCTGTTTGAAGTATTAGTGATCCTAATTTTAACCTATTTTATCGACTTCCCTGACAGACATTTTTAAGAAAATGTGCCAATCATGTGCTTCCAAAAACACAGTTGCATTACACAACAAATGAAAAGAGAATCTATGAGAACACAGAGAAGGCAAACAGGAGTGAAGCCAGTGTTACTGTTGCAGGCTGCCGGTGCTGTGGTGTTAAAGTAGTATGTGAACGTGTTACTAACTCAGACAGCTGCCATTTCACTCTCAGTGCTATTAGTTTCGTCACCCAGCCTCACCCAGAAAACACATTAATGCTCTTAAACCTATATAAACGTGTACTTAGTGTCAACTTAAAAAAAGCCTGGATAATTGGAAAGAGGGCTGCTGTCACTTTTATCTGAAATCTATATAAACTTTGGAGGATTCAAGATTAAATTGAACCATAAAACATGACTTCAAAAGCTTAAAAGTGCCTCAGCCATCTGACGTAAATACTGCATGAGGGAACGCCAGAGGGAATCCACGAACAGTTTGAACTAATGTGCGGAATTATTTTAGGTTCTACACCATAAACCCCAAAATAGTCCCATTATGGTGTTGTGTATAGTAGTAGTACAGTAGTCAATAAAGAAGACCAGAAGGCATGGGGGGTTGTCCTATCTACACTGGATGTTGCAGAACAACTGCAATAATGTAGCCTAAACCAGTTATCAGTTAACCTAAAGGTTTTAATTATTAATGTCATGACAAAAAAGATAATGTATGAAACGTATCGTGCCGCTGTTAATGTGTTAACACTTAGAAATGCTCAACCCGAGACAAAAGCAAACAAAAAGATCCTTCTTGGAGAAAGGCATCTAAATGTCAAACAATAAATAAGCCAATCAACTAACCTAAGCAATACTGCTCTCAAACTCTGACCTGAATAAGTATTAGTGTTAGTGGTAGTTCATAATGTCCATAAAAAAAGCAAAGGGTTGAACCACTTCCATATGAAAACTTTGTACTTACATATTCCTTGACATTTTTAGTCTTCACTGCTTTGTAAGAGTAGTATGCAGGATACAGAGTCCCGAACACCAGACTGTGGAGACAGAAGACATAAAAGATATTGTTTTTAGAACCGTTACTTTAAATGAAACTACAGTGAAACCTCGAGATACGAGCACCCCGACATACGAGTATTCCAAGATACGAGCAAGCCTTACAGACACTGATGCCAAGTGAGGCCGAGCACTCGGAGCAGCCCACTCCGCCTCACTAGTTCACTTCACGTGTTCGTCAACTTCCGTACACATCTCCCATGTCTTCCGTATTGTGTTCGCGTTATCTACGTGATGTTCTCTCTATTTTGTGCATTACTCTTCATAACAGTGATGAGTCCTAAGAGAGTGAGTGGTAAGGATGGTGGTGAGAAGAAGAAACGCATGATGACCATGGAAATAAAGCATGAAATAAATATGAGCATGGTGCCCACTAAAGAAAGAATACAAATCGAAAAAAGCAAAATAAATAAATAGAAAAGTAAAAAAACAATAAATAACGCATAAGTTAACTTTCTAAATTTATGTAAGTTACGTAGGGTAAGTGTAAGGTATGGTACGGAACTAATTCTAAATTTATGTAAGTTACATAGGGTGAAAGTAAGGTATGGTACGGAATCAAGTGTCTCCGTACGGGCCAACTCTCTTCTCTTCCCTTCCTTCCTTCCTCCCTCCCTCCTCCTCCTCCACACATGCCTCCATTAGCCGCTACTGTACTGTCTGTCTCGAAGTAAGAACTCATAATTAAAACCACATTTTAATTTATATCACAGGATTTCTTATATACTATAATTTATTGTGTGTCTATGTCTCTATAGCAATTAAAAATGTTTTTTCCATTGGTATTAGCTCTAATAAGGGAGTTTAAGGGCTGCACCAAATTTTTTTCTGTTATTTCTTGTGGGAAAAAAATATTTGAGATACGAGCACCCCGAGTTACGAGCTCAGTCCTGAAATGGAATATCCTTGTATCTCGAGGTTCCACTGTACTGTGATGTTCTTTGTACTCATAAACATCTAAACAAAAAAAGCATTATTGTAAGATCTTTGCTGAATGTGACCAGAAATACGGTGTGAATGTGAAAATACACAGAACTGAGGGGAAAAAATACATAGCACATGGATATAGGCTTTAGTGCAATAGCCGTTTAAGTCATGTACCATCAAAGTACATTTGAACCCCCTCCGTTTGTCTCCGCAACTGTGATTTGATTTCCACAGTCACAACAGTTTTCCTGTACACATGTATAATAGGTTACACACGGAAAACAAAAAGGCTGTTCAGTATAATTGTCAATGCAAACTTGAGGTTTACATACAAAATTGCGATTTTCCACTTAAAAGGCAGCATCTGTTGCAGCTCGAACAACCTGGGGACTTATTTATATCCTGCAATGATTTGATGTTGATGTACTGACCCAGAGTTTCAGAAACCACTGGAACACAAGACAATGACTCAATGTTTCCTCAGTAATTTTCTGTAGCAGTGGCTGGGGGTAATGTGACCCTTGGTTTTGTGCCAGATCCACAGCAGCTTTCAATACTCATTTTCACTTGCATACCCAGTATTTGCCGTGTAAAAATAAACATTAATGCTTCAAAATGTAGTAAACTTTGGCTGTGTTTAAACTGTTGAACTGATCAGGACTGTTTTTGATCCCATTGTCAATTTTTCCATTTTTGAAACAGAAGGAACCAATGCATTTCTAAGCAGTTCGAAAGACTTAATAGGTTATAGTTTCATTAAGACCAAGCAACTATTATAAGTACAAGGAGACATCTAAGCACTAAGTACAACTAAAACACAAAGACGACAGAAGGATGAAAAGGTTTACAGCTTGCACCTCCCCATTCAAAAACTAAAACTTTTAATTAATTTTGCATGAAAAGTTAGACTCTTAAAATGTAGCCTACAATGTCTCTGCTGATATGATGTTCTGCTGCCAACAGATTGTCAATAAATGCCCTTTTCTCTGCTTTTGAAAGCTTCACTTGCTGCCAATATTAGTTTCAGTCAATTTTATCTTGTATTGTACTTTCTGACCTTCAATTTTCCAGTGGCACAGTTTATCACTGACATACAGGAGCAGCTTGAACAGTAATGATAAGCTGTGTTTAAGTTTCAAGGATTTTAGTCCATTATGTGACCAACAAATCAAAGAGATAGTGATAAAAGGATTGAGTCAAGAAAAAAAAATATTTAAGTGGGTTCACACTACTCCCACTGTGGGCTTATACGAGCCTTTGTGCTCAGATGCTGCAGTATTCCCCGGCCTAGAAACAGTGTTTTGTTGTGTTACATTGGTGGAGTTTCCCCTCAAGGGAGACTTCGGTGTCAATAAATCCTTAGACCTTATCAGGTCCATGACCAGACTACAACATATCAACCCAATGATGACTCACTTTGACAAACACATTAGTGTCTAAGACAATTAATGCAGCATTTTGGACACTGTAATAATGAAAATGGCATTTGAGCACTCGCTGTTGGAGAGAGAATGAGGCACGTATTTCATGTCACTTAATCTGTCACAATCCAACTACTGCCCATGGGTTTGGGGGCTTTAAGATGGACATATGACAGCAAGGTATGGGCAAAACAAGTAGTTTTATTCAACATACACCTGCAATCCACAGACTGTGAAAGGATACAGCAGAGCATCAGCTTCACTATTCACTTGCAATGAATTTCTTCATGATTAATTTGCGTTAAAAATACATTTATGTGACATAATGTTGACTAATTACCTGGTTGTCACACCCAGTCAGATAATGAATGAAGTATGGGAACTCTCTAACAAGGTGGGGTTTGCATCCACATAGCAGGCACAGAACTATTGCATTGGTTGCAGAAAGAAACTGCATTGTACTCAAAAAGGAGCACAGACCCCTCTGCCTAACATAAACCTATAAGATACGAAGAACAATTTCACACAATAGCAACCAAACATACAGATGCTGACTTTGTGCAGCCTCGTATTCAGACACTCGCCCGCCCAGAGTTCCATGAGCGGTAGGCAAGTTGCCAGCAACCACAGAGGTTTATTTTCCTACTGTTGCTATAGAAACAGCAGAGCTGCCAAAGCTCCAAAATTCCCCATGTCTATATCTCTTTGTTATTTCTGCTCACTCTGCTACATTCACAGCAATGATGGGAACAATACTTCAGAAGACAAAGTATTTTGTGTGTAAATGATCTATTCACCTCTTTCAATGACACATGAAGATGTCTGTATGAATTAATGTTGTCCATCTTGTAGGATAGCATGTGTCAGGACGAGAAAGGGGTTGTCAGTGCAAGTACAAGGATAGTAAATACCAAGTTTGGCTGCATGGGCAACAGTGGCAGGCTGGACACTGTGTGTCCACACTGTGGAATCAGTGCAGTTTCCATTCTCTGGCATGGGTACGGATAATACCGCAACTCCTTGGGGATAATCCAGCCACCATGTTGGGAACCACTGGACTACTAGCAGTTATCAGACAGTGTTTTAGCTCAAGCTGTTTTTAACATAACGTGAGGTTTGGAGGAACCCTCTGAGACCATTAATGCAGACTGAGCTAACCTCAGTTAAAAAGGAATAGAAAAGAAACAGAGACATACCTTGCACTAGCATTGGCAATCTAAAGTCTCCAGCACATGACTTATTTGGTGCCAGGAAAGTATTAAGCCTCACAAGCGTGACCTTTCAATTACTACATCTTTTGACAGTTTTATATTCTTCCATGGTCCTAAATTCCCATCTCTTCCTTTCTTTGCTTCTTGCTTGAAACAAATAGAGACATTTTCCCCATAGAACAAAAGGCACACAAAAGAAACTGGGCATGCAGTAAAATGTTCTTGAAACAATTTAGTGAAAAGCAGGGCCCCTTTTTCATTCCAAAACTACCATCTCTCTATTTCCCTTCTTCTCGTTTCAACACCCTCTCCCCCTCTTTCTCTGTTTGCAGCTGAGAAAATAACCCCATGCTCTTTAGATGGGCTTTGACTCTGAGCTGCAGGTCAATTTCCCCGGTTTCATGACACCATAAACCACCAACAACCAGATGGAGGGAGGAGGAGGAGGACAGGAAGACTAGAGCGATAGAGAGAAAAGGGAGAAAGATTGAGAGAGTTAGAGAGAGAGTTAAAGAGAGAGAGAGAGAGAGAAATAAAAACAGAAATTCACAGAGAGGCAAAGGCAAAGGGGGAAAATAATCTAGTGATCTCCAAGATTCGAGCTCTCACCATCTGGTTTGAGCTTTAGGAATAAGAATTTGATTACACGACTTTTCCCCTAAAAACACAGAGGGAGGATTGTTGAGAGAAATGCTGCTACAGCAAATGGACCTGGTTATAGTCCAGGTCGACTCCTTTCCACAGTCTTTCTTCATAGGGAAATATAGATCATTTAAACTACCATTGCAGTTCTCGGAAATCTAAGTATGTTTAAAAAAGTTTAAGCAATATTTTAATATTTATTTAATAAAATAAAATGAAAAGAATTTCTTCAGCCAAGACTCTTCCATATAATATCAATTGTAAGGTAAAATAGGTAAAATAAAGATCATTTTACTACAACCTGACCTGTCTGTGTCACAGTAATACTGTTCTGTTTTTGGCAGTGTTCATGTATTAGGTTACTTTAGAGTTGTCACATTGATTATCCATTCACTTGATATCAAGGCTAGAAGTACATTGAAGAGGTTTCGCTGATTCCAGAAGTAACTCCATATGACTGCAAGTCTATTGGAAACAGTGCCACTTCTGACTTTAGAGTACAATAACAAAAAAATGTTTCTAAAAATCAATCTGCTAGTTTTAAGCCTTTCTTAAGACAACATTGTGTCTCCTTTTCTTGTCCATTTTAGAATTTAAACAAAATTTTCTGAATTGAACTTCAGTTCTATTTGTAGTTAAATAGAAAACAAAGCGTGGTGAGAGCTAGTTCATGAATGGACAGTGAGATTGAGAGCTGTTCTGTAACTAAGATGACCTGGACCTCGTACGTATATAACTACATACTGTAAATGTAGGTACGTATGTACAAACACAACAGACACTGTCTTTGCTGTGACATTTCGTTTTTAACATGGAGACAAATCATACTCTTGATTCAGCACCTAAGTATTTTTAGAGTAAATATAAACAAGGAACAACTCTCTGCTCCATGATTTATTACTAGTGCTGGAAATAATGCAAGACTGAGGTCCTTTCATGCTCTGTTCCAGCTATGCTTAGAAAAACAGGAACAGACACTGCACAGATCCAAACGTGCACAGATCCTTTTAACTTGTTTGCCTTTCTGACAAGAAGCTGCTGGGTGGAGTGATGGTCTGTTGAACCTGAACATGGTATAGAATGACGAGGCAGCTCTGACATACTTCAGTATCAAAGCAAACTGGCCGCTGCCATAAAAGTATTCAGGTTCGGCTCTGTATCTGCTCGTTTTCATTCCTAAAGCTATGCTCCTGCCAACACTACAGATTCCTTACAAGGAAATAGCCAAAATAATCGTTCTGTCTGGGACATCCCGAATAATTTAACGTCCTTCTTCAGACTTAAAATAGAATCCACACTTTGTATTAAATCTATCCATCTATATTTTCATCCCACGGTGTAAAAGTTGCTGACATAATGTCTAACCTAATATTTTATTATAATATATTTGTTTCTTGCATACTGAATTTCAGAAGATAAACATGAACAGGGTCCACGTCACCTATGCCAGCTTGATAAGGTAAACAACTTGATATAGGAACATGATATTCTATTCCTGCAAAAACAACTCTTGGTGGTTTTGTAAACAACAGCAGACCAACCTGTCAACACTGACCAAAGTGCAACAAGTGACACAGTTATGCACCTTCACATCAAAGCTGCTGGTAGTTAGAGGACTTTCAGACAAGGAAGTTATCCACTAAGAAAGTCTGCATTTGAAAAATGCATGAGGCGTGAGCCTATCTGTTCTCTCTACCACTCCCATCTGCACATTTCACTGCATTCCTATCCTCCATTTCACCTCAAGCATTAGTTGTATAACTGTTGCTCTAGAAACACACTGTACAGACACAAAAGAAAGTTGCAACATGACTAGAAAAGTTATATAAATGTGTGCTGTTCAGTCAATAAATATTGAGCATATATTTTCCCTGCAAGCTGTACTAAACCTGAATCGATGAATTTCTCTGCCTTAACCTCAATTGGTTTATGATGCAGGACAAAGGATAACTAGGCAACGGCGTAACCAAACACATGAATGCACTTGACTCCATTCTTGAGTGCGTCTTTCTCGTGTCCTAACAATGCATGACTTGTCCGCTTATTTAGGGTAGTGCTGGCCATAAATAACCTTACGATGACAGCTGTACCTGACACTCCTTTAGCGACTGAACATGTTAGGGCATGAAAAGGCCTTTAGCAGGACACGTTTATATTGTTCTTGTTGACTCACCAGCAGGAAGCATGTTCATGAGTCATGCCGTAAACAAACCTGTTAGCTTCACATAGACAACAGCAAAGCATCCAACAAGACCAATCTACCTGTACATGACTACATATGTTACAAGAAAGAACATTGATTATTTATATAATTTCAGATCTATCCATTAAGAGTAAATATGCGTTTCAGGATACTAAGATATAAAGTATGGGGCTATTTCTAAGCCACACAACGGTGTTAGCAAGGTAAGCTAACAACGCTAACTCCCTTACAATCTTTCCGATCTCGAAAATTACTGTCTAAGAACCATTTTTCTAATGTTAAATGTTGTCTATACTTACACAACACTTCTGGAAATGATCCAAGACACCATGGCTGTTGTTTTTGTGGTGACTGGCTGTGGCAGCGGAAGGAGACAGTCCCGGTGATAATGTCAAGAGCAATTGCCCGTAACCACGGAGCCCCAACTTCGTAACCCGAAAAACTACGACTACTTTTCCACGGATATCAGGTAAAAGACATGTCTCATTTTTCTATCATTGTAGCTACAACTAGAATGTGTCCAACGTGAGGCCTATTGTTTTGTTGCAGTCACTTAGTCTCTGCAGGTTTCCTCCTCTTCCTTCTCTGTCCAACAGTAACTCCAGTTTCTGGCATCAAAGCTGTCCTGCTCAAATGTCAGTGACGTCAACAGGAAAGAACAGCCTTCCGAAGCTTTAATTGGTCAGTGTAGTCTGTTTACAACAAACAAGAGCTTTGATTGGCTAGTCTTGGGACATCATGTGACTGCCTCACGTAATGAAGGCGATGGAAATTTAAACTCATCGACCTGCTCTGTCATTGGACTGCTGTGGAATCGTGGCGCCTCGCAGCCAACGAGCGAGAGCAGATGAGACTCGGTGGATTTTGCTGCTGTTGTTGAGGAAGACATTCGATTTACATTGATATTATATTTCAATATACCATTATATTTCTATTTTCTATTTTAAGTATATGTTTATGTATATGTGTATAGATTTGCTTGCACAATGCTTATGTATGTGTATGACTGTACATGTGTATGTATATATAGATGTATATGTGTATGTACTGTGTGTGTATATATAATGTATATATGCAGATCTATATCTATGATTAAAATAAAATTTAAATGTGGGCGTATGTACATGTGTATATATGTATATCTATATGTATATATATATATGCATATTTATAACTAATATTCTGTGTATAAATATATTACTAATATCTATCTATCTATCGATCGGATTTCCACATTTTTTGCAGACTACAGTTTCCCTTTAACAATGTTATTGTGTCTGGTTGTTTTCAGCCAATGTGGTTTAAAATAGACTGCTGGTCTGACAGCAGTCACCCTTTAGATAATGTTTTCATCTGTAGAAACGTGATGGTGATGATGATGAAGATGGTAGCCTCAGTAAGGAAAGGCCCTTATGGGAACACTATAAATATGCATATATGTTGTCAGTTACAACTGAATTAACTGAACTTTTTCATTGAATTTCTGCTTAAACTTTTTTTTTCTATTTAATTTTGCATATTAATCAGGAGTCATTTACACCCAAATCTAAACCTTGGATTTAGATTTATTTTTATACACTTACTATATTGTTGATAGTCAATGTGTGAATCATTTTACTGTCATATATAAGACTGCATAAATACAGTGGCTAACATGCTTTATTTTGTGCACAAAACACAAAACAAATGCAGCATATACAATACATTCTGTCTTTATACAATTAAAAAACACAAGTGACTGCGCTCATCAAGTGTTTTCTGGAAAACACTGGAATAAGAAACCAAATACAGTTGACTTTGTTTGTCTTGCTCATTATGCAAAACACACCAGTCCTTAGGATGTAATCATATTCATTACAGGTTTCCATACATGGCATTTGGCAGACACAAACCCCATCTGTGCATTTGTACAAACTCTGTGTGTGAATGCACATCTGTGTGTGTGTGTGTGTGTGTTGATAATCATATGTAAGCACAAAAAACAGGGTTGAACCTGTGCATGTGAAGCTGTCGGAGATGTGCATGTATGCATACACATGCAGTATTGCTTCATTGTCACTGTGTGCATGTGCACATCTGTACATATGTGTGTGTGTGTGTGTGTGTGTGTTTGTGCGCATGTGTGTGTGTAGGAGACAGGGGGGTTGGATTGGATTGCATAGCTACTTGCTATTCATGAAGGCAGCTATTGCGGTGTGCAGCAGTGTGAGGTAGATTCCCACTGGAGCCTCCCTGGTCACACAGCTTGTCTGGGGCAGCACCAGCAGATGAAAACTGAACAGAACACATCTCCTTACAGAGTATCTACCACGGTTATCAGCAGTAGCCTTACAGTAAACAGTATCACACAAGATCATAAGATTGTCAAGATGTTCAAAACATCAATCAATGTTACTTCAAATATAAATGTTTTTCCTTATATAAAAGATATGAAACAAAATAAGCACACTCTGTTCACTTCATCAAATGCATCTGATTAGCTGGTTGTTATAGCAAATAGGTAAACTGTCCTTATACTGTAAGGCAACATATCAAATGCACATGGTAAACACTACCTTCTGTTCAAATCAACCTTCAGAAATGGACAGTGAAGGTTATGTACATGGGATTGTTTTAGGTTCCAAATAGACTGGTTTGAGTATTTCAAACACATTTGATCTTCATGGATTTTTTTATGCACAACCATCTCTGTGTTTACAGAGAAGGATCAAGCAGACATTGTGTAATGAGGACTAGCTTTCTGGTCAAAACATTAGGCCATAGATCAGAGAAGAATAGGCAGCCGGCATTGAGAAAGCATCAGCAACTGTATGATGTTGACACGTGATTATGAATCATTTCCAAAAAAGAATTGCCATTAGAATTATGGTGATTCTGGACGCAACTGGTAGCCTACTGTTTCCCTCCTTAGTGTATGTCACAATGTTTGCTGAGCAGTTTTTATTATTGACTAACCCTAACCTTAAGACCAAATGTGGATGCTTTTGTAGTGTAAACACCCTCCTAAAACATATCAACAATATTTTTTGGTTCTTTTTGAGCAACCAACCAAATAAATGAACATGCATTAAAAAGTTAGTGGTCCAGGAAGCTCCTCTACTACCCACAATGTTGGGATTCAAATCCACGTGTCCCAAGTTAACACAGCTTATGTTGCCCATCACACTCTAGCCGCCTAATGTGTATTCTATAGGTTCAATCATAAAATACATACAGTGTAACAACTGCTCCAAAAGACAGGGACCAGCCTAATATATTTAAATTCACTTAAAGTCTTTAGGTTTAACAAATACACAAGCTCCCATCTCAAAATGTCAGCACGTTGCACAAACCAGCAACTCCATTAGGTTGAAATGTTCAACAAACCAGAACAACAGCATTGAAGAGGTTTTAATGTCTGCCTTTAAAAGTAGAACAGGTATATTTGCCATCCTCACTAACTCATTTAACAGTGTGTAAATTAGATGATTTGTAAATGTTGTACATTTTCACTTCTCCATTTAAACCTGGAGGATTTTCCTGTCACTTGTTTCATTTTTGTATTCTACCATTATTACACCGCAATGCTCAACGACTTTTCTTCTTTCTCTTCCTCTTTCTTGCATTGTACTCTGCCAGACTTTCTTTTGCTCTTTGATTAATCCTCTTCCCTGCATCTCTTCTCAGGTCATTCCATGTCTGAGTTTCTTCATCCTCCTCCTCCTTTCGTGTCCCACCCCAGAGGTCGCTCCAGGCTGATTGCTTTCTACTGGCTTTGCACACAAACACTGTCCTTAAGACCCACTCCGCACATACACGTCTGTAAACATTGTACAATAGTATTGCATGTGAAGTGAAGACACACTCTCGCTTGTGTTGTTCAACTCATCTACTTTGGTCTTGTGCTCACTGATTCTCTTTCTGTCTCACTTCTTTTATGGCCCAGGGCTGGCAAAAACATAAAGAATACAATCCACACTTTTTAATATAACAGACAGACCAGAGTAAAATCATGAATAAACTAAATTAATTACTCTTTTATGGCCATATGGATAACAAATTCTGTCCCATAATGACACACCACCTTCCAAGAGATTACACCTACATTTACACCTAAAATTATGTTAAATTTTTTTTCATTTGACATATTTATTAATGACTTGGTTAAACAAGGCTGATGTTGCATTCTAGCTGCCTTATTTCTTCTTCTTTGGGTTTAAAGCAGTGCTGTATAATTTCAGTTACATTACTGCCACCTACTGGGTCCATTTTATACCCTGGTAGATATTTTGACTCATAAGCAGTCAAATAACTAAAAAAAGAAATGTAGAAAAACAATCCAAGGGTTGCAATCCCTGGTGACCAACAAAGCATTCTGTACAAAGTTCCTGTAACCATAGGAAGTGTTAGATGATTTATTTAAAATGATTGGATGTTTTTTCAAATGAGATGTTTTTTTATACCCTAAATAAATATTAAAATACTTAAGAAAATAAAATAGCAATACTTTCTTTGTATATGATATAAAAACAATGTTTACAACATAAGTCAAACACATACTCGAATATCAGCAGTATTGATATTTAAATAGAATAGCACTTTTGTAATAGCATTTCTATGTTATTATTACACTCGAATTAATTAACAGTTAATTAACGTTTAACTGTTTAAGTGGCAGTTAAACAAGAACGACCAGTCTCTTTGTAAAAATAGTGCATCTGAATGTTTCAATGGAGCGGAGGGAGACACGCGTGTTGCGGCTCCGTGAATGCCATGGGATCCAGCGGAAAGACACGAGTGTGGACGGCGGTGGTGATGCGGTCTAGTGTTCCAGTGTTTTTTTTCAGTAGAGAGAAAGGAGACTGACGCTGGAGCGGGTGGAGACTGCTACACATTTAAATCCCCCGGGTTGCTTTTTCAGCTTTTAACTACAAATAACTTCTCTCTTTTTTTCTTTGTAACATTGGACTTTTCTAGCGCAGATTTAATGTCGTAAATGACAGGTTTGTAGGGGCGTCGTTGTCGGGAAGTTTTTTCGCGGGGGGATTCGTTCGGACCAGCCGAGGACCATGGCAGTCGAGGCTCGGCCGGAGCTGGTCGGGAAGCGGTTCCTCTGTGTCAGCGGGGACAAGCCGCCTGAAATCGGCGACATCGCTCGCTGGCCCTGGAGGTCCGGTGTCATACGAGCCGTAAACCATTGTGACAGCGACAATCCCGACCTGACGGTGAGGAAAAAAGCCGACTTTTTGTCCACCTTCTTCTACTCTGTTACATGCAGAGCAAATGGGAAAAATCAGTGTGGTTGGCGGCTGTGTTGTAGGGTTACCAGGCGGAAATTATTCTGTGGCTTTGTCCTAGTTTGTACAGTAATGAGAACAACCCTGCAATTTACCACATTTTCACGAAAATATTTAAAATTTGGTTGAGTGTACAAGTTCCAGTTGGTTTTTGACCAGTGTGTACGTTAATGGGAGGCAGACTACCAGCAGGGGGTTTATGTATGGGAAGCTATACTACAAGTCTAGACTTTATACTATGTATTAAATACACAAATCTTACCAATTTCACTCTAGAAATTTCTGTTTGTATTTCCTGTATGCTATATTTATGATTACTTGCAGCAAAGGAATAGTGGAGAACAGTGGCTCCATGTTGGAACACTGTGTCTACAATCAGAATCTGTTTTCATTGCCAGGTAGGTATTAACATCCAAAGAATTTGCCTTTTTTACCAATCCCAGGAAAGGGAAGAAAAAAAACTAGAGAAGACTGGGAGTTTATAAAGATTAGCAGATTAGATTAGTAATGACTGTATAATAATCAGCAAAATTTGTATAAACTCAAAGACTTAACATAAAATGAACATCCATGTGGAATAGAACCGTATATGAAAATGTGTGGGATCTGTCATACAGAACAGATGTGCAGATCCATGCACTAGGGATAAAGCAAAGCCTTCTTTTGACAATAATAATCAATTCGCTGATGACAGCCACCTGGGCTTTGAACTGTTACTGTCTGTCATCTGAGGGAGAGCAAGAGAGGCTGTGTTTGTGAAAGCGTGTGTAGGAATTTTGAGTCCCAGCAGCTAAATGCTTTAATCTGCTGTACACTGCAAATCAGCTGACAGAGGTAAGGTTGACTCCTGTAGATTTACCAAACCCCCGCACTACAGCCCTTTCTTCACATGTTGAACTAATCTCTGTTACCTTGGGTCATTGGTCACAATCTTCGTTTATTTGCACGGTGATCGACCACAAAGGACCGTCTGCCAGTGTTTTCCAGGCAGACAGTTACGATCAGCCACCTCTCTGTGTCTTA